GCAAGCCTTTATTGGAGGGACAAGGCTAGAAATGGGTACTGTTTTATCCCCATTTCACAGATTAAGAAACTGAGGTACAAGCCAGTTAGGTCACCTGTCCGCATTTGCCCAATTAGTATGTGTAAATAATGATGCTGGGAAGGAAGGATTGCAATAGATTTTCTAACCTCAAACCCTAGGCTCTTCTGTTGTCCCAAGCTTGGCTTCCCCCATTCCTCCTCCTAGCGGGTCTCTCTCGTCTCACAGATCCTTCTGAGAATGTGATAAGCTCTATGGGGTCTTTCCTCATGGTGGAAAAATGCACCTGGACACAGCCACATGCCCACAAATTTGCACGTAATTTCCGAGGATTTAGACCCCAATCATGGACCTCAAATCAAGACTTTCTGTTCTGTTCTGCTACAATGGAGATTGTCACTACACATGGCTAGTTGGGCCTAGGGTGGGCCAGGGTCCTTCTCAAAAAAGGACCTTCAGTGTATATCCAGCAATCCTCCTGAGAATAATATGTGCTATTCAATTAATGAGGAATCCAGGACTAGATGGCAGGACCTCTGTGATTCCTTCGAGCTGTGGTCAGTCTTAGTTGATTGTAAAGGTCTCTGAAGAGGGTACCTGTCTCTCCCAGAATTTCAGGTCTTTACCTGGGAGGGAGGCGGTGCACAGTAACCCCCTCCCCCACCCCCCAGCAGACTGCTGAGTTGATCACTGCAGCTTGATAAGACATCTCCACATGCTGCTAACTCTTTGTTGGGGACGGATACTATCAGAGACAGCTTCAAAGTCTCTGACTGGGAAGTGCTGCTCAGACAGTGAGGTGGTACCTATCCAGGTCAATACACCAGATGTGTATGAGTACCAAAGTGAGGTGGTACCTATCCAGGACAATCGCTAAGCTATTTGAGAGCATCTTCTCCCACCCTATAGATGATGTGTATCATCACAGTGTATCATCACAGATGTGTATGAGTACCAAAGTGAGGTGGTACCTATCCAGGACAATCACTAAGCTATTTGAGAGCATCTTCTCTCACCCTATAGATGATGTGTATGCCTGTGCAGTCTGATGACACTGCACCTAACAGAATGTGCCTGATAATAAATACTAAAACAAGCCATACGGACCAGCTAAAATGTCACCAAGCCGCGCAGTAAAGGCCACGTGGATGACCCTGAGGCAGGCTCAGAACTTCACTGGGAGCTTATTATGCACAAGGGTCTAACGAGCTGCCTTATCTGGTTTCCTAGCACAGCACACATAGAAGGGCAGCGAGAGGCTACACCAAACATGACATTAAAAGCGTCAGCCATATGATGGCTAGGATCCCAGCAGCAAAGATGGGAACACAAGGAAAAACCAGGCAGACAAGAGATCAAGACAAGTGCATGCATTTGACCTTGGTGTTCTCTCTTCTGTTTGATTTCTCCTAGTCTCCGGCTGCCCTGCAACCACCAAAAAACTCTCAACTTCCCTTAGACCAGGCTGGATCCTTTTCCTTACCTCTCAATTACCCTATTGCCTGAGACTCTAACTCAGCATGCCCAAGGATTAACTGTCTACACTGTCTGGCCAATCTGAACCCCATCCTGCATGCCCCACCTCAAACACAGATATGTACTTGCTCAAGTCAGAAATCTGGGAGGTTCTTTGTTTTGTTTTCCTTTGTTTTTGTTTCATCCTTTTCATCAATTCTGTTAACTTTCAGTCATTTTTGAGTTAACTTTTATTGAATGACTCGTATGTCAGGCTGTAGGTGACAGAGAAATAATGGTACTTATAAAGCTTCCCCGTTCCATAAAGGTTATATTCTAGTGGGGGAGACACAGTGCACAAATTAAATATGCCTGTCTGTGTCTCTGTGTAAAAGTGCTTAAGTGCTTAAGTGCTTAAGAAAAAATAAAACAAGAGGAAGAAGTAACATGGCGGCTGCAATTTGGGAAAACACTGACCAGTGAAAAGTCCGAGTGAAGAGAGCTCCAAGCAGAAGGCCAAGTGCAGACTGCTAGAGGCAGGAGTAAGCATTTTGTTCATAAACAGAAAGAAGACCAGCACGACTGGGGATAACTAAGTCAGAGGAGACTGGGGTGAAGTGAGGTCAGAAGCATAGGGAACATGTCCTTCCGAGAACACAGAAAGCAGTTTGGGTTTATTCTAATTACAATGGATAGCTACTGAAGTGCTTTGAAAAGATAACCTGGGGACACCTTTCTGGAATGAAAGAAATGTTCTATATCTTGATAATAGAGGTTTGGATTATAGGTATGCCCATTGGTCAAAAACCAGGGAAAGGTAAGTTTAATAATTGTACATTCATTATATATTCAGAAGACCAAAAAATAACAAAAGAATTTAAACCAATATTGTATGCTGGAATATGTCTGCAGGTTACTTTGAAATGGCCCCCAGATAGGCTGTATGAAGGGATAGCTAGAGGGATGGACAGATATGTGAGAAGGCAAGGAAAGTTATGATGGTAGGACCTCCATGCTGGATATATGGGGGTTCAAGATGTGCTCTATGGGCCGGGCCCAGTGGCTCGTGCCTGTAATCCTAGCACTTGGGAGGCCGAGGTGGCTGGATTGGCTGAGCTCACAGGTTCAAGACCAGCCTGAGCCAGAACGAGACCCCCATCTCTAAAAATGAGTGCTGTGTCAGGCACCTGTAGTCCCAGCTACTCGGGAGGCTGAGGCAAGAGAATCACTTGAGCCTGAGAGTTAGAGGTTGCTGTGAGCTATGATGCCATGGTGCTCTACTGAGGGTGACAAAGTGAGACTCCGTCTCTCTGTCTCAAAAAAAAAAAAGATGCACTTTATGTTTAAAAACATTTATATGCTCCTAACACATTGAGGAGCCAAGTGTACCTTTAGTACCAGCCACTTGGAGGGCTGGTGCAGGAGGATTGCTGGATTCCAGGAGTTAAACACTGCAGAGAGCTGTGATTGTGCCACAGCACTCTAACCTAGGCAACAGCAATAATAATAACAATAATTTAATTAAAAAATAAAAAGGGCTGGACATTTGTATATGTATATTTGTAGATGTATATTTTTTAAGGATTTTCTGGCAATTGTCTATTGTCAACAGAATGGACTGTAGGAGGCTGTTAGGGAAACAGTGAGACAGCTAAGAAGCCTGGGGCAATGATTTGGCCTCTGAGAGTAGAACGGGGGTGATGTCAGCACATATGCTGGAGGTAGAGAGGGTGGGGAGCTGTGAGGAAAAGGGAGAATGAAAGGGTAACTCCTAATGTTCTAATCTGAGCCGGGGGGGGGGTGGACATTGAAGTTGTTATTAGAAATGAGGGGCAATGGAGAAGCTCAGGGTGATGCCAGTAGTTCTGTGTGGCTATGCCATGTTGTCAGTGCCTATTAGCCGTGTGAGGGAGAATGAAAAGGAGGCAGGTTGGTACAACTTTTGAGCTCTGGGAAGAGTCAGAGATGACTGTATGAGTTTGAGAGTGAAGAATCAGAAGCTGAAAATTGGGCTGAAGTCTTTGAGATGGGAAGAGTCACCAGGGGAGTGTGAGGATAGAGAAAAGTCTCAAGGACCAAGCAGCTAGACTTCTACCAGAGAAGGGGAACCAGCAAGGGAGACTGAGGAGAAGTGGGCCATAGTGTCAGAGGCAAACAATATGGTTTCTTAAAGAGATGTATTTAAAGGAGCAGCAGGTGGTTAGCAGTGCAGCTCTTGGCTATAGAGAATAGAGGTGCAGAACGGATTTGTAGTAGAGAAAAGATGGTGCCTAACCTCAAATTTCATAGTAAGGTGGAATTTTTTTCATTGCAAATGATGGAAACCAGCTTATGCTAAGGTAAAGTGGAAGGAAAGATGTATTTATTCATGGAACTCTAACGTAAACTGGTGGCAGCTTCTGGCTCCACAAAGTCCAGGGAGCAACTGATGGAATCAGTCTGAATCTCTGTCCATCTTTCAAATATGCACTGTCTTTGTGGTGTCCAAGAGTGCTCCCAAGAGCTGTCCTGCAGCCTCCACCCCCACTACCCCCTGCAGCTTAACAACCTCAGCAGAAAGTCTTGCCACGTAGTTCTGGCAGAAGGGTCCCCTAGGATGCTAACTGACTCACGTTCCTTTTGAGCATATTCTTAAGAGGGATGGTTCACTCAAAAGGGCCACATCTAGGTTACAGACCCATTTCTCTGGCAGGGGACAGAGGGACAGCCCCATCCAAATGACCTGGATTGATTCCCTATATGATAATGAGGTTCTTTTCTCTTAAAAAGAGAAGAAAAACAAGCTGGGCATACCTGGTATGGTCTACTACTCAATCCAAAAGATGATTTTTTTCCATAAACAATAAAAGGAGTTAAAGTTACATATTAGAATGTCCATCACAATTTAATAATTTATTAAATCATTGGATTTAATAATTGTTTGTGAAAATTTACTTTATCTTTCATCCATTTTCACTACCTCATTCCCATTTAAAATGGCATAGGAATCATGCATCACATCTTTGGTATCTCACAGAGCCCAGTAGATTCTCTTTGGTAATAAGCACCACAAAATTCTATAAATTTTTACCACACATTTAAGCCACTAACATCTGTATGGTTTCTATACTGCTGGGGACATGCTTATCCCAGAGTTGATGGAAGGGAGCTCAGAACCTTCCAGAGGCAGATGACTTACCCTCACTTTCTTCATAGGTGAAATGGGAAAATTGTGGTAAAGGGGGAAGGTCAATGAGATAACAAGAAAGTCCCCTAGCAAACGCGGTGATGAAAGATCACCCATGGGGATTATCACTTACAATGCGAGATTTATTTTGAGCTATTGTAACTTTATGCCCACTGAATTTTTGGTATTTATATGTAATTCCCTCTTTCTAAAATCAGCTGCAAATAAATAATAATGGTAATGTTTCATGAGAATCAGTCTTTCTCCTGAAGGAAGTTTTAAAATATTGTTCTTTAATCAAAATAAAGATGATAAAATTGACTTTGCCTTGTGCTTTTTCCCCCTCCTCTGCCACTACAGTTTCTGTTTTGGTCCAGACAAGGGTTTTAAGAAGCATGGCTTTAACAGATAGGAGACTTGAGAACCTGCAGATCTACAAACTTCTTCAGTGTGTTCGGGACAAAGATAAGAAGCAGATAGAGAAGCTGACCAAGCTTGGGTACCCTGAACTGATCAATTTCACAGACCCCATTGATGGACTCAGTGCTCTGCATCTGGCCTCAGTTTCCAATGACATTGATATGGTCAGCTTTCTCCTGGGACTGGGTGCTCACCCTGATGTGCAAGACCGGATGGGCTGTACACCCACCATGAGGGCTGCAGAACTGGGCCACGAACTGTCCATGGAAATATTAGCCAAGGCGAAGGCCAATATGACTATCGTGGATAATGAAGGAAAAGGTAAGACTCCCCAACATTCTGTCTCAAAGATTGTGTTCACTTTGTAGATAGAAGTCAATAAAGTGGAAATTTTTTTGTTTATTGTCCAACTTTAAAAATGAATTATTCATGGTTTTCAGAGAAGGGCTAAAATCTCACTCCTATGCCTAAGCATACTCTCTCCTCATAATTTAAAAATGATATAGGTGTATCTTAGGGAGACCAGTTTTGAGAGCTTGCTCATAGAATTAGATTGTTCTGTGTCTTGTGGTTTCTTTTAAACATGGAGAACCTTTAACATTAAGTATATTGATAATATCATAATAATCACTATCCATTATAAAATGTAAACTATTGTTTAGAACAGAAAAAGAGGTAAAATGTTTCTTCTCATTATTATTATAATTATTTTTTGCATTTTGGAACTTTGGGCAATACCACACTTAGTATTTTGTTCCCTCTCAACAGCAGTTTGATGTGGAAAGAAGTTACACTTGGAAACTTGAAAGAACTAAGATGGATTCTGGCATAAACTTCACCTTTTAGGGTCATTTTTAAATGTGTTTGGAAACACCATTTCAAACTTTAGACCTGGCATTTCAACAATTACTTGGGTGAAACAGTGGCACTTCCACACCCCGTGCACCTCCCTAATCCCATCCCAAGACCATTGCTTTAGAGCTTCTTGCCCAAATATAATAACTGGATATTTAGGCAAGAGTTAACAGCCTAACAAAAACACGAAGCTAATTTTCACTGAGCTTAACATAAATTGGAAGGGTTAGTCAGTTGTCCTAAACAGTTGCTACAAGTACAAAGCCTGGCATTGAAGCAATGAGTCATGTTTTATAACACTAATGTTTTCTGATAGGAGTAAAATTTACTTTTATAACTCTCTACAGACTAAGAGTCTTTTATTTTAATAGCACCATAACAAAATAAACTTCAGATGCATTTAAGGGTCAAATGTTAAATCCTAGAAAAAAAAACAATAGCATCTCATAACTCTATAAAATACTATTTCACAAAGTGTGTTCCACGGACCCCTAAATCATGGCATGTTGAGAAATGCCATATGCAAAATTGGTTCCACTGTTGAATTCGTGAGGGAAACATTGGATAGAACAAATTTAGACATGTTTCTTTCATACTGTTAGACCAATTATGGTAACATTTTCCATATTTATGTCTTTGTGAAATAGTTTTTTTCTTGTAGCATTCCTGAAGTTTTGTGGAATAGACTTTGGGAAACACTGTGATGGAGAACAGTCTTAACTTCTTGAGTTTGAAATAGAGGTATAAATGACAGAGAAAACATGTTGACTGAGAAATTCTATTGCATAATTTAGAAATACAAAACTGTAAAACTAAAAAAAAAAAGTACTGGAAACAAAGTAAAATAAATATCTGTAGAAAATGCAGCAGCTGTCTGGCTAATGTCTGTGCTCATCAAATTTATATTAAACCTATCAAGGCTCTGGAAGACGAATGTACAAGAAAACAATTAGGCAAGTCACACAAGAAGAACTGAAAATATCTTTAAAACTTGAAACACATATAAAATCTCGCGTCACACATAGCCTTGTTAGTGCTGGTGGCAGGAGCCTCGACTCTGTGGACCCATGTGGGGTGCCCGTTGCAGACGGCATTGCCTCTTCCCCACACCCATGAGCCTGGCTCACCTCAGACAGTCCTCAGTCTGCTGCTGCTGGCCAGATGCTTTGCTTACTCCACAGTAGTTTCTCTGCCATTAACATCCTATTTTCTGGCGGCTGATGTTGACAAGCAAACATTTAAATGATTAAATGGATCTTAAGAATGATATGAGACATCCTAGGCTTAAGCTACACTTTCTCTTTGAACAATTTTAAAGAATATGGAGACGATAAAGCACTAAGCCACATACAGTCCTACGGAATTTATAGTGTCTAGAATTATTCTCCTTAAATTAAGCTTGACTGGTTCAGTACAGTGCCCATCCCATTGGGTCTCCCATTGTCACTGTTGTTGTTTGGCCCATTCTTTCCTGTTGTGTCTTGCTTTGTCCTTGATTTTCTGTTTTTCTTTTTTATTAAGGGGGAACAAATGTTTTAGGTTACATGGATAGCTTTGGAATGCTTTAGTCCTAGCTACAGGTGCACTGATAGCCCACATGGTGTTGGTGTTTGTTGTACTGGTTAGGTAGGTTTTTGGCTCTTCCCTGCTCCCTCTGCCCCCTTGTGGTTTATTTCCACTGAGTTTACTTCCCTCTGTACACATAAGTGTTCTTTGGTTGGTTGCAATTTAGTAGTGAGTTCGTACATGTGGTGTTTGCTTCTCCATTCTTGAGATATTTCACTTTGGAGAATGTTCTTCATTTCCATCCAGTTTGTTGAACAATATATTAATTCATTATTGTTATGGCTGAATAGTACTCCATGGTATACAGGTACCACTTTTTTTTTTTTGAGACAGAGCCTCAAGCTGTTGCCCTGGTAGAGTGCTGTGGTGTCACAGCTCACAGGAACCTCCAACTCCTGGGCTTAAGGGATTCTTTTGCCCCAGCCTCTGCAGTAGCTGGGACTACAGGCACCCACCACAACACCTGGCTGTTTCTTGGTTGTAGTTGTCATTGTTGTTTGGCAGGCCTGGACTGGATTCAAACCCTTCAGCTCTGGTGTATGTGGCTGGTGCCTTAGCTGCTTGAGCTACAGGTGCCGAGCCATGTACCACATTTTAATCCACTCATAAATTGATGGGCACTTGGGTTGATTCTGCAGCTTTGCAATTGTGTTGCAATAAATATTCAAGTGCATGTATCTTTTTGATGGAAGTCTTTCTTTCCTGTGGGTAGATACCCAATAGTGGGATTACTGGATAGGATGGTATGTCTACTTTTAGTTCTTTGAGGAATCTCCATACCATTTTCCAAAGGTGTTGTACTAATTTCTAGTCCTACCTATAGTCTATAAGTGTTTTATTTCTCTTTGCATCCACACCAGCATCTATTGTTTCTGGATGTTTTAATAAAAGCCATTCTCATAGGGGTAAAGTTTTAATTTCTCATTGTGGTCTTAATTTGAATTTCTCTGATGATTAGTGACATTGAGCATTTTTGCATCTATTTGTATGTCAATTGGCCATTTGTCTTTCTTCTTTTGAGAAGCTTCTGTTCATATCTTTTGCCCACTTGTTAATAGGGTTGCTTGTTTTTTTCTTGCTGATTTGCTTGAGTTCTTTGCAAGTTCTGGATATTAGGCCTTTACTGTATGTATAGCTATATAGCTTGCAAATATTTTCTCCCATCCTGTAGGTTTTCTACTCACTCTGTTGATTGTTTCCTTAGCCATGCAGAAGCTTTTGGGTTTAATCAAATCTCATTTATTTACTTTTGTTATTGCCATGATTGCCATTGGGGTCTTAGTTGTAAATTCTTTGTCTAGGCTGATATATAGCATGGGAAATCTATTTGAGAAAATTATTGAACGAATCTTTCCAGGTACCAAAAGAAATTCAGAATCAGATGTACAGATACAACATGGACATTGAACACCAGGAAGATTCATAGCAAATAGTTTATCTCTAAGACACATAGTAATCAAACTGGCCAAGGTCAAAATGAAGAAGAAAAATTCGCAGGCAGCAAGATGAAAGCATCACATAATCTATTAAGGAAAAGCCATGATGCTACCTGCAGACTTCTTAGTGGAAACCTTATAAGGCAGAAGGATTTGGAGCCCATCTTCAATCAACCTAAACAGAACAACTTCCTGCCTAGAATTTTGTATCCTACAAAATTAAGTTTCACATTTGGTGGACAAGCAAACACTGAGGGAATTTGCTATGGCCAGAGCTGCCCTGCACAAAATAGTTGGCATCATACACAGATCAGTGTGCCCACCAGTGTGAAATCACTTTAAAATATCCCTAACTCAAAACACTTATCAAACAGCAGAACACCAGGTAGAAGAAATGTTAGGGTACTACCCAACAGGCTGAATAGAGTAATGCTATCAATTAACATTAAAAGACTAAATGCTCCTCTCAAAAGGCTCAGGCTGACCAAATGGATAAAAAC